CAACACCAACCGTGTTTGAAGCCTGACATTCGTATTCACCAGCATGAAAGACAGCAATATTTGGAATCAAAATTGTACCCGGTGATTTCTCTTGTGTGAGCAGTGGAAGCGGCAATCGATCACGACGCACCCATTTCAAAGTTGGTGTTGGTGCTCCAGTAACGGCTCGACACTTAAGCAGAACATCTTCACCTTCTTGCACCATTTGTACCTCAGCCGGTTGGATTTCAATCTGCGGTGCCTCGAAAGCTTTGAAGGAAATTTTTATAATCAGTCAAATTAAGTGCTTGAGTTTAAATTTGGTTCGATTTAATACGCATTGCTTTAAATTGATAAAGTTTGATTTGAATTTAAATTTAAAAAAAAATTCCTGATTTTATGCAAACAAAGGCAATGAATCCATTTGAAAATAAAAAATTGAGTCAACAAAGACATATAGAATCGCTCGTGGAAACAAATTGACAGAGTTTATCTACGGAAATGGCTTTAAAAATACAATGTATTCGCAAACACTTACGATTCAAATCAATAACTGTGTGATCACCATCAACTGCCAAACTTGAATTAACCAAGCACTGGTAAACACCACGATTTTCTGGTTGAAAATTTACGATTTTCAAAGTATTACCATTTTGTTGTACATTTATACCAAGGCTATCCTCGTACATTTTCTTCCAGGTGACATTGATTGAACTCATGGACACTTCACAGGTCACATTGAAATCCGTACCATGCGTCACTGTATACCATTCGCTCGGTATCGCCACGTAATCCAATGCTACAGTATGAATTTATGGAAAAATAAACGGAAAATGAACGATTTGAAACCATGGCAATGCACAAGGAGGATAACTTTTCTCGGATAAGCTTGGTTTACTCCTGCCTTAAATTAGATCTCTGCTATTTCCACTTAAATTGGTGGAGCCCTTTTTTGCTCTTCATTTTGTAAGACAAGTTTTAGCCTCTCTTAATGTCTCTCTAAAAACAAAAAATTGTTTACCTTCATTCGATTCCAATGCTTGAAGTCCACACAAAATTGTTAGAGAACACCAAATCAACGCAAAATTGTGTCTATTTCCAACGAAATTCATTTTTCAATGGTTTCAAATCCTTTTAAATTTGACTAAATCGTAGATTCACATTAACCAAATTACTTCACTATCATGCAAAATTCAATCATTCGATTGAAATGCGCGAAATCAAAACCTTGAACACAAAGCAAATCAAGCGTACTTCATTGTTTACTCTTTTTACTGCCGACTATGTGCGTGTAAGTGGCAGTAAGTACTTACAAAATTGATATTACATTCAAGGCATACATATGACAGAGTCTCTATTTGACCTTCTTATCTCTTAAATTCACATCGAAAGGAAACGAAAAGTCATTCAAAACACGATAGGCATCATCACTGTGAATGTGACACACATTTTCTGAAATGAACAAAGTCACAATGTATTCAATCTTTGAATTGAATAAATTTGAATATGATTTCATCAAAGGACGTACATTAACAGCTGATTTCTTTCAAATATACTCCAAAATTATCAACTAATGTAAAATCAAACGTTTTATCTCAAAAATGATCCAAATTTGAGTTTTATGTCAAGAAAAGACTTAAAACTGTTTAAATTGTTCTTTGTGTTCGCTTTTAGAGCCAATCTGAATTTTAAAGATTTTCTTGCATCTGTACATTCAAGATCACCATTAATAACTTACAATAATAAACACTGGCTAGACGTTCAATTGGACCGTTATCCGGGAATTTATTAATTTTGAATGAAAACATTCGTTGTTTTCTTTTCTTCGCATTTTTAATAACGGTTATTGGAAAACCATTTGCACAAATTAGCAACAGCTTCATTAATGAGAGTGTAAACAGCTGTGAGTGATACGCGTCGAAAGTAATAAATATGCACATCAGTTCCAAAGCAGACTTGGATTTTTTAACATCGAATATATCAGAAACTGTTCAAAATAAACTCATTCTGTACAAATCAGATGGAAACTTTTGGGAAATAGAAATCAACATGTTGTACTAGATTCGATGATGAATAGTGATCGAGTCATTTGCGAAGGAAACTTCAGTATACCAACAGTAGAAAAATGAAAATTTCGATTTAAAAGACAGAAAAACGTAGACTTTTGAGTTTTAGTTGGAAACAAATCTTTATTATTCAATGAATTTAACAGAAGAAATGATTTTTTTCCATTAAAAATTCTTGTCTTTGATTTCTTTGTTTTGAAAAGGAAATGTCTTTTCCTAGTTGAAAATAGAACACGAATCAACATCATATCCAGCGACAACACTGCTGTGGATGTCAACATCTTGCAATGATGAATCTTGCATGGATTGTATAAGGTGAATGCAACCTTTGAATCCTTGTTTATAACGGTAACCGGTTAATTTGTTGATATTCGGAGCACCGCCTATTGATAAAGATAATAAAAATCAGAAAACGATAAAAATTCAAAGAGAGAGAGAGAGAGAGAGAGAGAGAAAGAGAGAGAGAGCAAATATAAAGTCAGCCACACTTACCAATGAAAACATTGCCGGTCAAAAAGCTGAAATTCCGAAGTGATTCAATCGTTTTGCGACCTATGTCATTCAATCCAACTTGAAGTGTAGCTTCTTTACCGTCGCGTTTAATTACAACCTGGTGCATTTCTCCATCATCAACTCTTTTTTCGCTCTTGATAGTCATTTCTTGACCATCCAACTGCAGTGAAAATTCCAAGTAACCGTCGACGACAGCCAATGCCATGCAGTCTTGTACATCGAATGCCTTATCATCATTTTGTCCGTACCAAACCAATAGACCATTTAATTCAGATGTGCGAAAGACCATACCAAATGATATGACAGATTGAAATTCAGCTCCAACAACAGCTGAGCTGTTCAATTCAATGTAACTGTTTCCTTTGTAATGGCTGGAGTATACGGACGGTGTAAAATGTTCGCAAAATCTTCCAGTAAAATGGATTGGACATTTGCACGATCCGTCGTTGGTTTCGTAAATACCATTATTTTCACATAGATGCATAGTAGAATCCATTATGAAATCTATTTTATAAAAAGAAAGTAATTTGAACTTTCTCCTTACAATCTTTGGATTTTATTTGTTACATTTTTGAAAAGCTTTCGTTTACTATAGATAGTTTTTAATTGGCGGAAATAACTCACCGTTTTGTTTCGGTCGAATTAAAACTTTAATCTGTTTTTCAGTTCTTCCATTCCTATTATTGGCACGGCAAATGTATGTTCCTTCATCATTTTGACTGACATTGTGCTTTATATACGTTGCCGAATATTGTATACCAGAATGAAATTCTTCCATAGGTTTATATCGATCTGTAGAATCGAGTTTGTACCACTTTAGAGTGGATGAAAATTCAGAAAAACAATACAAATTCAATTTATCACCCTCGACTAGAGTAATTTCGGGCAAATTCGGTAAAATACCGATCGAAAGGGTTTGTTGAATGGTTATTGTGGTGGTTTCGTTTATTTTTCCATATTCATCACGACACACATATTCACCAGCTTCAGCAGCTGTTATATTTGAAATCAAAATGGTGCCATCAGTTTTTTCTTCGACGCGGTCTGATAGTAGTTTTGGATCATTGCGTGTCCATTTCAATGTTCGTGATGAATTTCCAGAGACGACTCGACATTTGAGTATTACGTAGTCTCCTACTTGCACCACTTGTGGTTCAGGTGGATAGATTTTGACCTCTGTACGATCAAGCACTGCAAATGAAAGAGACCATCACATTTGTGTCATTAAATCATATTCGAAATTTTACTTACCAAACACATCAATAATCGTACTAGCTTTAACTATCTGACCATTTGATACAGATGTACATTGATAAATACCCCGATGATGAGGTTGGATGTTGTAAAATCTGAGGGCATTACCATTCTGTTGTACATTATAGCCAAGACTGTCCTCTCCAACTCTTTGAAAAGTAACATCTGGTAGTGAATTATCAGTCATTTCACAAGTCAAACTGAAATCTATGCTTTGAGGAATCGAGTATGTGTCCTGCATGATGCCACCATCTGATGGCGATAGAATCAGCTCATTTGGAGGAGGTAATATGGATGTTTGCTCGTACTGTTCAATAAAATGGAAAACATTTCTTTTTTAATTTAAATTCCATTAAATTGATACAAGTTTAAAATTCTTACAAGTTCAGTTGCTCTATCGCCGTCATCTTCGTAGTCATATTCATTATAATCTAATAATAATAAAAGTTTAACATATTTACATTTTTCACAAATGGATTTTGTGTGATTACATTTTAAATATCAATTAATTTGACGTAATTTATGTTTCATCGAAAAAAAAAACCAAAAACAAATTGTAAAAGCATCACATACCAATAGCTAAAACTGTGCCGAGGCACAGAATTAACACAAATAATTTCATTTTTTTAAATGTTCACCTTCACTGAAAATGAACTCAACTATTTCAATTTTATTCAAAAACACTAATAAAAATAGACATTAATTAAATAACTTCAAAACTGGATTACAGCCAAAATTCAACTGAAACTCAAAAAATTGACTATGTTTCGCAAATGTTGCAACAGCCTCCAATATAAAAGATTGAACTATATTCTTATCGCATTGAGACGTTTGAATGGAGATTAATCTTCTTCACATGTTTTTCGTATTTATGCCGAGTTTTCATTTTTTTTCTTTCTTAGACATCATACTGCGCATTAATATTTTTTCCAATAAGTCTGTATTAAAAATATTGCTGATGATGTAAAAAGAAATCCTGATTGCTGAACAGCCTATTCATCTCAACCATTTTTCATTGTATTGGACATATCATGTCCCACACTTTAATTGTGGTATTGGTCGAAAGAGTGAGCTACACAAACAAGAGCAGACACTTTTTGAATACACCAAAATGAGCAATGTTTAAGGCAGAAATTGAATCGGAGCTTTGTTAAATTGCATTGATAATACGCATTTCAAGGGAGAAAATAGTATAGTAACTAGGCATGTTAACGTTTTTATTTACAATTATTCCTAGTTACACGTGTTTTGTTATGATAAAATGTTTACTTTAATCTTATTCTTAACTTCAAACAAAATTATGACATGGAGCAACATTGTATCCGCCGACAGCGTTATCATATACGTTGACAGGTGCCCCGTCAGTGCCTTCGATCATGTAGATATTACCGTTGAAGCCTTGCATATACCGATTTTCGGTGATTTCTTCTATATCTGGTGCACCACCTACAAACAGAATTTGAATAATTAATCCACGGCACGAAAACTGGAAGCTAATCCAAAGTTGAACAGAAATTTTCTTACCAATGAAGAGTTCGTTTAGTTGTAGTGGTGGCCAGTAGAGAACATCATCGTCAGATCCTATAATTTCTTCGTCTACACGGAAATCGTCGAGTTGAAGTCGAACACTTATATCGTATCGTGTTAAAATAACAACGTGACGTTCTCCATCATCGACTCGCACGTCCAGTGTGTTGGATTTTTCTCGACCTAACAGACGCACTGTATATTTCAAATAGCCATTGACAATGGCCAGAGCCACGAAATCTTGTCCAGTCGATGACCAGAGCCATGGATATGCTTCACCCTTCTTTTGTCCATACCAAACTATCAAACCATTCGGTTCTGAAGTGGATAATAGGAATGACAGTGAAATATTAGATCCGAGAGATGTTGCTGCCACAACGGATCGATTCAATTCAATGTAACCATTGCCTCGGAACTGGCTAGCAAACTTGATTGGGTCATTGTATTGGCAAATCTCTCCAGTGTAATGTATCCGACAATCGCAGGTGAAATTACTGCCGTGGCTCACGCAGATGCCGTTGTTTTTGCACGGTTTATGTGTTTGACAGACATTGATCACTACAACGAATTGTTGATTTAACAAAAGAGTGAGACAAAAAGAGAAAATCATTCAAAAAATGAAAAAAAATAATAATAGGAAATTCGAAAAATATTAAAAAGAGATGGCAACTCACCGTCTACTTTCGGTTGAACTAAAACTTTGATCCGTTTGTCGGTGTATCCAAATTTGTTTTCAGCACGACAAATGTAGATCGCTTCATCATTGCGATTGATGGTAAATTTTTTCAGTGTTGCCGAATGATAAGACATAAGAGAATAATCCGGAGTTGTTGTGTTAATCGTATGCCATGTCACACTGGATGAACCATTTGCAGTGCAAAATAGATCCAATGGGTCGCCCTCAGTTAAAGTAATTTCTTGAACGTTTGGAAAAATGGTGATTTGTACAGTTGGAGTTGGTTGAATGACAATCGAGGTTATTTCCATTGTTGCTACAGAGCCATCAACAGCTTTGCACACGTATTCACCAGCTTCTGCTGCTTTTATATTCGAAATTAAAATTGTGCCATTCGATATCTTTTCGACACGATATGAAAATGGCTCTTGATCACGTCGAGACCATTCTAAAGTTGCACCCGGATTACCAGAAACAATTCGACATTTGAGTAGCACATGTTCGCCCTCTTGCACAATTTGTGGTCCATGCGGATAAATCTCAACCTTCAGTTCTTCCAATGCTACGGGAAATGTTATATGATGAAGTATTTTCAATTATTACGGTTAATGACATTGATCTAATGTGAAACTTAGTTAAAAATTATTATTTGTTGGTGTTGAGATGAATTCATTAATAGAATTAAAGCTCCCCAAAAATAAAAGCTATCAGAGAGCAAACACTCACCTTCCACATTAACGATCGTATTGGCTTTGTCAATACCACCATTTGATTCGGCTATGCATTGGTAAACACCTCCATTGTCAAATTGTGTGTTGAAAAATCGTAGAACATTGCCATCTGGCTGCACATTTAATCCAAAACTATCTGCACCCAGTTTTTTGAAGGTGACATTAGGCATTGGATTTCCAGAGATTAAACAGGTCAGATTGTAGTTGTCGCTTCGGTAAATGTTGTGAATATCAAAGACTAGATCAGCGGTTGGTGGCTTGAAAGTGGTCGCATTGAGTGGAACAAATGAAATGTCCACTTCGTCTTGGGCTTTCAAAAAAATTTATCATCAAATTTACGTTTACGACTAAAAGCGATAAAAAATTCAATCAATACTCACTGCATTTGGACTCATCAAATCCATTTGAACAGTCTTGTTTTCCATCACATATCCAAGTCCTAGGTATACATTCGCCGTTAGAGCCACATGAAATCTCATCCCAAGCACAAGGCCGATTTTCTGTAAGAAACACACACTTTTTGTGTGAACAAGTTGAAGAAAAAAAAAAGTGAAATCATTTATGATCATATGACTTACTGCACATTTTCGGTTCCTCATCCGAACCGTCCGTGCAATCCCGTTTACCATCACATGCCCATCCTTTCAAAATGCAATGACCACTTTTGCATCTAAATTTATCATCTGGACATAACTTAGCCTTATAATGGTCTAAATAATAATTGTAATATTCTAAAACGAGGAGAAAAAAATGGAAATTTAGTTTGATTGAATAGCTCACACATTTAGAGAGCTAATTTAATAGTTTCAAATAATTTTCTTAAACGTTTTAATGATTTTCAAATCAAAATCGAAAGGAATTCATGTTGTTTGCCATTAAGCTATGGCCATTCGCACAATTAAATCTGTCGTGACATTCTGTTGTGATCATTAGATTAAAAAAAAAATCGGAAATAAACGATTCAGTACATTGATTAGACGTCACCGTAGAAAGCAATGAGCATTATGTTACAAATGAAACTAAGCAAAAGTACGGTAGACACTTGGAGCATAAATTGATCAAAGAACAAAATTGCAAGAAACACACGTTAACATATCAGCAGCTAGATATTCCAGAGCTGTGAATGGAATCAGGCTGATCTTTCTCTCAGGTGCTCGTTGGCCTTTCCCGGGTCTTGATTGCTTTTTTCCATATGGTGCGGAAGCGATATCTTACTGCGACAACGTAAGCTACATACTCACAACAGAAAAAAGTGGCGTAAATTAAGAGAAAGAAGAAGAAGTGCATGGTGTAAACTGTAGTTAACGTTGTTGCAGTGAGACGTCGCTAGCAGCAGTCATTTGACGGCTTTAATGTAAAGTAATACATGAAATCGAGGCTAGGCTCTTCCTGATATGCTTTTATCAGCATCTTTGCACTTAGTTGATTTGTGTTCGTTTTTAATCACAAAGAGTCTTTCAAAATCGTGAATTGAACCAAAATTTAGCTTGATACGATTTCACTTACCGCAATCGATTTCGTCTTCACCTTGCTCGCAATTCCATTCGCCATTACATCCGGCTTCTTTCGGAACACAATCTCCATTGTTGCAACGGAGCTCATTAGAATTACAATCCGATGTCGATTCTGACTCCACCATTCGAGCGCCACAAAAAATTGTGCCAAAGCACAAAATCCGAAGGATTAGGATAATCTTCATATTTCTTAATTCAACACTAATTTACAATTATTTCAATAAGAAAATTGATAACTCGAACATTGTGACAAAGGAATGAATGTTGGTTTCAATTTTCTTATTAAAATCTTGTGCTTATTGAATAAATTCCCTCCAACAAAACACTTTGATTGAGAATCTCAATTTGAGATTAAATTGATTATGTGCTTAGTTTCAATATTCTCACACTTTTATGCGCATTAAACAAAACACTCTTCAAAATGTTCAACTCAATTGAAATGCGACTTGACTATTTCGCTGTTGGAATGATAGTGAATCGGTGAATTAATGAACAACACAATGCAACGTTGCTTATCAGTTGTTCGATGTTCTTATTTTTTTTTTTTTTCAGAAAATGCACATTTCTTGTTTCATTGGATTGATTGCAATTCTTGGAAAGTATATTTCCGAAAGTGAAGAAATTTTTGTATTTCGTAGTAATGCTTTAGATTTTTGAAATAAAAGCTCAAAAGACAACACGTAATGTGATGATATTTTGCAGAACTATAAGGCAATGGTCAAAGAATTCTACGCAAAAAATCGTCGTTCGAATGAAAATAATCGGAAGTATTTAATGTATCGGAGCAAATGAACAGCATTTAAAAGTTGCCTAATCATAGCAGACGTTTTTAGATTCAAAGTAAAAAGTTTCTGAATAAAATAGGAATACCAAACCACTTCTCTCATCTATGA